ACAGCTCGGTTTGGACCAAAAAAACCGTTCATATGGTTGAACCAAATTGGATAGGAGTTGAGTTGTCATTAAGCCGGAACCCAGAGTTGGACCAAGAACCAGAACGTTTTAAGAAAACCAAACGGTTTTTTAGCATGACTAAAAAAATACTAAAAAATTAAAAAATAGAAGAAAGATAAAAAAAGACCCCCCTCAAATATCCAAAGATATTTTTAGACTATTTATAACCACATAGTATTATTTCATTGAAAATTTCATATTTTGTGGTGTTAAAACTGTGAGTCACTAACTTTTTGTTTCAATGTCTGCCCTAGCTTTAAAACAATGTTTTGATTTGAATGAATTAATAATTTTTAATATTATTAAATATTTAAACATACATAAATTTAAATATATAACGTTTTAGTCTATTTTCAATGATTTCACTATAATTTTAGATTATTTAAATGTATTTCTAAATTATTTAATAATTTGATATTTCATATATTAATTATGGTATATAATATTGTTTTAAATTAACTATTGCGTCACTGGTTCGACCGGACAGTCCAACCGGTCTGACTGATTGAATTATGACCCGTTGATCTTTCTGGTTCGACTTCTAGTTCGGCTTTTAAAACATTGATTCTTATTGCACACATATTTTAAAAATAAAACCATGCTTATGCAATCAGAAAAGAAAAACAAAAGTTGAAGTCTCCTACGATATCTCTAGCAAGGAGATATTATACTCTCCAACGTTTCATTAATGGAATATTGATTGTGGTTACCAAGTAGAGCCTCTGTTGCTCTACTAGTTGCGCTGCCATTTGTCTATGGATGAAGAATGCTAGTTCTTGAGGAAATGGCAATTGCATTGAATCATTACTCAATATTGAACAACTTTACTCATGGAAGGTCTAGCTCCCGGATTTCCCCGGAAACACAACAAGCCAATATGGATATATTTGATTATTTCACCATGTGAAGCAGCTTCTGTCAGATTCGAATCCAACATCTTTATCAATCTTTCATCCTCCAATGCTTCCAAGCCCGCCATTATGCAAATCATTCATTTAAAATAGGGCTCTGCTAGTAATTCGATTATAGAATATTGTTAACATAAGCTCCAATGGTGGTTGATGCTTATAATAATGACAATGATGACAGGTTTGAGATGATCATTTGAGAAATATTAAAGTTTACTATACTATTTCACTTAAAAGTCCACCAGTACATTGAGATTCATGAGATTCATATTGAGAATATATATTCTTTCCACTTGTAATTTCTAAAACAATGATCCAAAACTATAAACATCTGGTTTCATAGAAAATAGTCAAACTTGATGTCTACAATAGACATATAAAATCACACATGTAGCCCTACAAAATCACACAACAACGAATCCAAACTTGATGTATGTCTATATATATTGGAATCTTAGAACCAAGTAATTTGAACTATATATTGATGCTGTACCATTATTTAAATTCGATAGTAAAATGCACACGCAATATACAAAAAAACAGATACACACATGCCTACAAGAACTTAGAGAGAAATAATAGGGACATAGTTAGAAAAAGAGAGAGAAAGAACTTACAATGTTCCAACAATTCTATTTGTGTTTCCCCTAGTTTTATTAATATCAATTATTCTAGCCATGCCGAAGTCAGAATTTTTGAATTCATCTCATTATCTAACAAAATATTGTTAAGTTTGAGATCTCGATGTATTACTTTTAGACATGAATGTTGATGCAGGTAAATAATTTCTTAAGCAATTCCTTCTATAATTTTATAACGGTATGACCAATTTAACACTTTTGACTTTTGTGAACCCATGAGTAATTAAGTAACTTTGTGAGCATACAAATGAATGACAGATACGCGGCATACATTTATCTATAAATTAAAAACAAATTATAGACTATGCCAATATATTCATCATAAAGACTAAAATAGAATAGATAGCACGAACATGAATAGAAAAGAATTGAAAAATTGTAAGATGAGCTCAGAAGGGACAAACCAAATAAAAAATAATTGAGGCTTTTGTTGGACACATATTCATAAATAAGTATGTTCTCTTGATCTTTGAAGCAAAGTCTTTATAATGCCACCAAGTTTCTGTGTTGAAGTCTAGCAATTAGTAGAACCTCATTTTGGAATTATAATTCCTGACTAGAATTTTCTGACAATCTCTTTACTGCTATTTTGTTGCCATCGGGAAGACTGCCCTGAAATCATAAATAAGTTGGATAATGAGGGGCGTGAGAAATACCTTCAATGATGTACAGAAACACACACGTTGATTTGATCTCATAATTTATTTACCTTGTAGACTTCTCTAAGTCCATCTTTGCCTATTCTATTTTCAATCGAGAACTTATTTGTTGTAGCTTCAATGGTTGCGCAAATGAACTGCAACTATAAATATATGTACATTTTAATGTAAATACCCTACATTATAGTTTTCCCCTACAGTTGACTGAGTTGTCTTTTTTGGAAGGGGAAAAAAAAAAGACATACATACAATTTTTCTTCAAAGTGGCCTTATAACTATTGCTCTTTTTCTTTGCCAGTAACAAAAGCCGAAACAAAAAAGCATGATCAAGACAACAGTAGTAATAGACACACTGTGACGACTGTTCGTTCAAAACCCATTTAGATTAAATCAAATAATTTATTCAAAAGATTAACTATGATAGAAAAGAAGAAACCTTAAAATTATAAAATCACTATCATGGTTAAAAGAAATAAACTTATATTACGAGCAATATCAATCATTAATTTGAGCCTTGGACTTTCAAAGTCCAGAAATATCATTCAACCATTAGCCTAAACCAAACTTATATTTTCAAACATACGAACTGATAAATCATTTTAATATAAGTTATAGAGCCCATTAGTCAAAAGTCAACACTTTCAAAAGAGTGTCACATGCAGAGTCTTAAAGGTCTCTGGCCTTCTAACGGCCTTCTCACATCAAATAGTAGTAATTAAAAGTATTAGTTTACAATATTAGAGTAGATGAGCCCTATGTAACAATATATAATAAATTAGCAAATAGAACAAAAACAGGGTGGCTATATAAGCTATAACAACACACTATGCCTCCGGAGCCTTCCCTGATGGGCCATCACCTGAACTATCACCTGAAGATAATAAAAACCATAAGGTTAGATAAAAGCCTCAATAACCAACTTTTCAACTCATCATACATACTAACATGTACTCGTAAGGTGTCAAGTGGGATAGTTATTAATTCTTGAGAAATATAGATATATTCATAGAAATATAATTTCAATCATTTGAACCCTCACTATGAGAGCCAACACAGAAGCTACATAAGTCTATCCCTCATATAAGGATCAATCAGACATATAGATCTATCCCTCACTCTGAGGGATGAATAAGAAGCCACAAAGCCTATCCCTCACTATGAGGGACGAAGGAAGCCAACTAATTGCATTAATAACGGCCTTACCACATGATAAAACAGGACTCAATCTAAAATCCAAATAACAACCAATCATTCACAATATAACGAAAAAATGTCTTAATCTTTTCTCAATATAATTCATAAAATATAAATCATATATTTTTCCAAACTTTTCAATCACAATTCTAAAAATCCCACAAGACAATTTTCATAGCTCAAAAGGTATAAATATTTACTTAAGTTTCAAATAACACATCATTATTCTAAAATAGTAAAATACTCACAAACAAATATTAGCACATATAACAAATAGAAAGTGGTCACCTCTCGCCAAAGCAATAGAAAGGATTACCAAAGGCCAATACTTTACTTAACCAATAATTAATCTACATAATTAATATAACCAATATTAGTATAAGTTGATTAATTAATTAATTAAGCCTATATATATTAGTTAAATTTTTAATTCAGTTGTTACTCTAAATTTTCACAACTCTTATAACCCAAAATTAAGTACTTTTTTAACTGACTTATAATTTCTAACAAGCCAAATTATTTACTTTAATAAAAGAATTTTGTTAAAATTTTTAAATATGAAATTATTATATTTTAAATTTTAAAAATCTCATTTAAAGTTTAAACCTCAAAATCAAATCATCAAAAATTCAATAGTACCCCAAATATTTGTAAATAAATAATCTAATCAAAACTTTAATGGTACAACTATCACACAAACATATATATATATATATATTTTCATACATAATAAACTTTTTAGCTAAAAAAATTATTTTAAAACCTCTAATCATCCAATAAATAAAACTAAATTGATTAAAATCTCAATAATATGTCAAATAATCCAAATAAATGATTTAAGTTAACTTAATCAGTAAAAATATGCTATATGCCATATATACAAATTTTTCAACTAAACAAATTAATTTAAATATTAAAAAATAATAAATGGGCAAATCTAAAGCAATTAAATTAACTACTCATTTACCTCTAAATTTCTATAATCATCTATTGTCAAAACTCAATACTTACATCATATATAAGTGTCAAAATTCTCTCTAATCACTATAGTAATACTACTATTAGGAAGTGTAAATATATAGAAATATTCATGAAGAAAGTTTGATGAAAAGAAGTAATTTATGTACCTAAATTATCTTCAAAGTTTGCCCCTTCCTTCATGAGGACCGCAACTCTACTCTTTGTTGTCTCTCTCTCGCTCTCTTTCTCTCTTTTCCTCTTTCTCTCACGTACCCTCATTTTCTACCTTGCTGTCTTTGTATCTCATCTTCTCTAACCACCTTTCTCAATTTTTCTTCTTGCATTAAACCCTCTCCAAGTCTTCCTTCTCATTCAACGTTTCAGCTTTCCACCGAATTCGGTGGAAGCTGTTACCATTTTTTTTAAATATTAAAATATTATTATTTAAAAATTTTTTTTACAAAAATCCTAAAATAAAATTTAGGATATTACAATTCTCCACCTAATTAGAATTGTTGTCCTCAAAATTCAAACAACCACACACAAAAGTTAAAAATAGAAGCAACTCAAGGTGCTTACTAAGAAAACAAGTAAGGGTAATCATAACGCATCTGCTCCTCAGTCTCCCAGGTAGTATCACCGAGACTTATGCCCTTCCAAAAGATCTTTACAAGACGGATAGTCTTGTTCCTTAATTGTTTATTCTTAACGTCTAAAATCCACTTTGGTTCTCCTCGATAGGTCAAATTATCTTGTAACTTGACCTCTTCAGTCTTAATAACATGAGACGAATCGAGATGATACTTCTTCAACTGAGACACGTGGAACACGTCGTATAAACAAGAAAGATATGGCGGCTGTGCAATTCTATGTGCAACAGGTCCAATCCGCTCCAAAATTTCATAAGGGCCCATGAATCAGGTTGTAAGCTTTTTGGCCTTAATGGATTCGCCAACACCTGTGACCAATGTTTTAAAAGCTGGATTGGACATTGAATTGATGAGGCTAGTAGGTCACAGTCCGCACAGTTGGACCGATAATGTAATAATTAAATAAAAATAATATTACATACCTATATAATGCTATAAATAAAAGAAAGAGATATGAAATTTTTACATAACTTAAATACAATCAAACTCTATGTAACATCTTTCCAAAATATCAAGTCCCAAGACATTGAAATCATAAAAAATAACATGATATCATATCATCAATAATAGCAAGTATCAATAAGAAGTTAACATATCTCACTAACAAAAAACAAGTAGAAGTTCAAGTTCATGACTTATCAAACATTGGTGGACCTTGATTAAGCCAAGCATGAGTTTCTTGGAACTCATCTCCACTATAACTATCAACATGTTCTTGAGGAAATGATTCCAAATCAAGCCCTCCAACTTCAAAGCATCCAACCTCATCTTCAATCTCATTAACTCTTTCTTCATTGAGGTCCTCAACTTGATTGATGGAAGCTCTTGGTATTGTTGTATCATCATAAATTATATCTTCTTCTATCTCATCATAACAAAGGCAAGAAGAATCATCCTCATCTTCCACAATCCAATACTCAATATCACCAATGCTTTCATAATCAATAGGATCAAAAGATCTTTTCTTGTTAAAAATCCTAAAACACATGACAATGTCAAAGATTAATAAAAGTGAAGATCTCATACAATAAAACTTATAAACAAAATAAATTGAAGTAAAGCTTTGGAATAATTAGGAATTTATGGTAAAATACCTATTCTTCAAACAAAAATTATAATGAACAAACACAAGATGATTTAATCTTTTATGCTCCAACCTATTCCTTTTCTTAGAGTGTATTCTTTCAAATTCACTCCAATTTCTTTCATAACCTGATGAAGATAAAGTTTGGCTCAAGAGTCTCATTGCTAATTTTTTAACATTTGGTGCACTATCCCCAAACATCTTCCACCATTCATCTGGCACATTGAACATCAAATACAAAAATAAATATAGCAAGTGAATAGCAAAAGATATATTAAAAGTCAAATACAACAATATAAAAATTTACTAGGTCATAATGTTTTTAGATAGGCAAGAGCCATTGGACGACCAAAGCTGTCAAGTTGATCTTGATAACGTAAGCTTTCTTCCATAAACTTGGTTTTATTAGATGACACTGTCTTATCCAAAACCATAAGAAAACCAACCATGACCTCCCGTTTTTGAGAGAAATTCTGCTTGTCATAGAAGAATACAGGATTTAGGAAATAAGCCGCCGCATGAAGTTGTTGATGAAGTTCAGTATCCCACCTTCTTCTAATAATTCTTGTATAAGGCTTGTATAGGGATTTTTTATTCATAAAAATATTCTTTATGGTTTTTCTTGCCCTATACATGCCATCATATACATACCCAAGAGAAGGTCTCTCATTAGCATCAACAATCCTCAATAATAGAATAAGTAGTAAAACAATTTGTACAACAATTTTACAGTCATTCCAAAATTTGTTGTCCAACACAATCATAGTCACGTCCTTGGCCTTTTGATCTTTTGAATATCTAGATTTTGTAAACATCTTGCTAGTAACCAAAGATTGCAAATCATGTTTATGCTCAGAAATGCTTTTCAATGCAAGAAAAGTTGTTGCAAACTGTGTTGGCCCTGGATGAATAATTTCTGTCCAACCATCTTTTTTCCTTAACCAAGCTAGCAAATATACATGATTGTAAACAAAATTTATAATCATAGATGCCCGTGATGCTAAGTTAGTCACAATTTCCATTTTCCTAATATCTCCTAAAATCAAGTTCAAACAATGTGCAACACAAGGAGACAAAAAAATAGAATGATATTTATCAGTTAATAACCTTCCAACAGCTTTATAGTTAGCTACATTATCATGTACTAAATGGACAACATTTCTTGTACCGAAAAAATCAACCATTTCAATGAACAAGTTACAAAGATTTTGAGCATCCTTAACTATGTTTGAAGAATCTCAATGACCAAAAATTGGAAATTGACATAGTAAGGAACTATAGAATATATTGAATATCCCAGAAAGATTGATTTTTATGAATTGTTCGTTCAATTAGTTTCATAATCTCAAATCAAATAAGTCGTATCTTGCTTGATTCAAGATCAATGGAAATAATAATGGGGGCAATCCTGAGCCAAATCCTATTGCATCAACAGATTTAATGAAAATAATTCCTCTTGGAGAGTAGGCAAGAAAGTTAATCAATTGCCTATTTGCCTGATCTTGCTAACCATCAGCCATTATTGTGCAATCAGTGTTTTTCCAAAATTTTCTAAAACTAACAACTAACAACTGAACTTCTTTTTTAGTGTCTTGCAATAATTTAGTTCTAATAGCATGGTAAGTTGGCCTTTTATAACCAGGACCAATGGCTGCAACTGCATCTAACATAGGCTGAAAATAAGTTGAATTCACAGCATTCATGGGAATACAACAATCATATAACCATCTAGTAACAACTAAGTTTGCTCTATGAACAGGTTCTTTACCTGTAAGTGCACTTTGTGTCCCTGGTTGTGCTCCTGGGGTTGTTCTTGGAGCAAAATAGTTATTTATATCTCCAGTCACCTTTCTTTTTCCAAGTTGAGAAGTATTCAGATTTTAAGCATTCAATTGGCTCTCCCTAGGATTTTGGACTGGAAAACGAGCAACTTCTTGTGTATTTAGAGCATCACTTTCAAATGATAGGACATTAGGGCCATAAAGATTGTCTTCTTCATAATTATCTTGTTTCTTACTTTTCTTCTCTTCAATCTCCTTTAGATTTTGTTCTAATCAGTAACAAATATCAGCAGACACTTTTTCACAGCTTACTGCATCCCCTTTTTTCTCCAGCAAGATGTTGTTTCATTCTATGAATTCCTCCACCAGCAAATTTCTTCACACAACATAAATATCTCAAATGTTTTTTTCCACTTGGGGTCTTGCTTGGTACTTGAATACAATGCTCCCAGGCAGGATTTGTGTTTAATCTTACAGATTGTGATATAGTAGTTGATACTTGTTCAGATGACGTTTTTTGTAATATGAAAATATGGTTAATATGAGATTGACTTGCACATGCAAGTAAATAATCATATATAGGGGCAACATAAAGGAACTTTTAATTGTTTAATATAATCTAGGTAGTGTGCTGATTGATAATGTAATAATAAACTACTCTTCAATGTTCACTGAAAGCATTTGTGACTCCTAAACATATTTCTTTAAAAAATTAGTTTATAAGAAACGAATTAAATAAGAATACAGTCAGATTTTTTTTGTCCTGTGAAACCCACCCAATTCCATACAACTTTTAGATTAGTTTGTCAATATGGAGTCACATGAATTCATGCCACCTAAGTTTCTTTATTATGTAGAAAAATTCATTCCAACTTTTTACTCCATAAAAGACAAATTAAAGGTCAATGGTGGTCCCCTACCCCAAACTGTGATAGTTTTATCACATCAAAACAAAATAAAAACCAATAAATAAAGAGTAGTGGTCCCAGTTTTATCAAAAGCTTCAAAAGGCATCAAATACATGCTATTCATTTATTCTACAATCAACAAGATGCCAAACAATCGAATCAAACCATTTATTTCATACCTTCAAAGCAAACTACTAGAGGGCATCGAACGTCTAAGGCCAACACTCAAAATATGAGCTGTGAGAGTCACCAATACTGCAATGCGTTTGCTTGAAGAAGGACGACTTTAAAGAGTTAAATCTCAGATGGTCTCTTTGACAGTAGGTAGAAGATGTTTTTTGCCAACTATGGAGAGCCGGGAGGCAACGTGAGTATGAAATTGATTAGGGATTGAGGGTTTTTTAAAAGATGAATGTGGGTGTTTTTTGGACAGATATGCAATTTTTGTTTTTTTAAAAGTGTTTCTGGGCCCAACATTTGAGCCGTTTGATTATTTTAAAACTACCCCGATCTAGATTTAACTCCAGTTCTTGGTCCAACAGCCAGCTTAAAGCGGCCCAACAGGGCTCAACCAACAAAACAGTTGAACCATAGAAAACGAGCCGGGGATGGCTTTGGTCAGCAGTCTAACCGATCCAACCGTCCAGTCCCATTTGGTTTTTAAATCATTGCCTGTGACAGGTGAAACCTTTAGAAATACGTGATCACCTCCTTCAAATTCTAAAGGTCTCCTCTGACAATATGTATAACTCTTTTGTTGACTTTGGGCAATCAATAACTTTTACTTGATCAGCTCAATCTTTCTGGTTGTTTGGTCCACTAAATCTGGGCCAATAATTGTTCTTTCACTCAATTCAGTCTAACAAAGTGGAGATCTACACTTCCTCCTATATAAAGCCTCATATAGTGCCATCTGAATACTAGAGTGATAGTTGTTGTTATAGGCAAACTCAACTAATAACAAGTGAGTGTCCCAACTGCCCTTTAGCTCTATAGTACAAGCCTTCAACATGTCCTTGAGACTCTGAATAGTCCTCTCAGTCTGTCTATTAGTTTGAGGATGATAAGTAGCACTAAAATTGAGTTTGGTGCCCTTGGCTTCATGTAATGACTACCAGAACTTTGATGTAAACCTCAGGTCTTTATCTGAAATGATAGACTAACACTCCATGAAGTTGAACAATCTCATCTATATACAACTTTGTCAATCATTTCAAGGAGTAAGTACTCTTGATAGGTAGGAAGTGTGCTGACTTAGTCAATCTATCTATAATTACCCATAGCGCATCATAGCCAGTCGGGGTTCTTGGCATGCTAGTAATAAAGTCCATGGAAATACCATCCTATTTCTATTGGGGAATATCAAGATTCTTTAATAATCCTGGAGGTCTTTGATGTTCTATCTTGAACTTTTGACATGTTATACACTTTAATACAAAATCCATGACATCTCTCTTCATTTTTGGCTACTAGTAGTTCTTTTTCAAGTCC